GCCAACCAAGTAGGTATTGCAGAAAAGACTAGTATACATTTGACCAGACTATTAAAATTCATCAGAAAACGAAACTGATCCTTTTATCTTACTGGTAGGCAGTGGATGTGAATGGGCATGGAGCCTTAAAAACAGACCCAGAGGGCTGCAAAGCAAGAAGCTGGGATGAGAGCTGGGGAGTGTCCGTGGGACACCCACGAAGGAGCAGGTGAGGTTGGACCTGGTCTATATGGTACAAGTCTTGCTTCGACTGCAATTCTGCAAACTGTAAGTGAACATACTGCAGATAAAGTTCAACAAAAGAAAAAGGAAAACACTTGAAAGGAACATGTATTCCTTTGGCCAACTTCCCAAATATTAGAAATCTCATCAGGTACTTCTCATGTATGACTTATTTTTCTTTCCAATGTAATTTAAATGTTGAGTTGAGCCCTAGCCAGGTAGCTCAGTTGGTCAGAGTGTTGTTTGTATGCCAAGGTGTGGGTTTGATCCCCAGTCAGGGCACATACAAGAATCAACCAATGTGTGCAGAAATAAGTGGAACAACAAATCAATGTGTCTCTTACTAAAATCAGTAAATTTTTTACAAAAAAATTTAAAGTTGAAGAAAATACATTTTTGGTATATATCAAAATACTCTTCATAGAATTAGGGGGTAGTAATATATCTAGATTTCAGAAACATGGGATAAACAATGAGAAAGGTAAACAAACTGTATATGATCTTTTGCCATCTTAAAGAATAAAAGGCTGTTTTTAGCAGAGTTCCACTGCAGTAGTATTCAATCAAATCATTTAGAATTATCTGTTTGAATCTTCCGAATCTATTCACCCTGGAAACCTGCGACATTATGTTGTGATGTAATGTGAAGGGATGACTTGTGAAGCCAGTTACACTGGGTTTGATTTCTAGCTTTGCCACTTACTAAGTATGTGACTTTGGGCAAAACCTCTCTAAGTTTATTTCCACATTTCTAAAATGAGAACATCTTCAGAAATGGAAATACCCAATAGTGTGCACTGTTCAATATGGTAGCTGTGTGGCTTCTGAGCACCTGAAATGTGGCCAGTATGACTGACTAACTTGATTCACAATATTTTCATCTAATTAATTTAAAAGGTGTGTGGCTACCATACTGTTCAGAACAACATTAAGCCATGAAAGCGTGTTTCTTCTGAGGTTTTAAATTCCTATGGGAACCAGTAGAGGGTATAAAAAAGCAACAGTAAGATAGATTTTCTCCAAGTTTATCCCAAAAAGCAGTTTAGCTGAACTAGTGTAAACAGCCTTTGTGGTCAAATATATCTGGACTCGAATGCATGTCTGTGTGAACAAAGCCAATTCACCAAAACTTGAGGCCCCCCCCCACCCCATCTGAAGGACGGGAATACCTAAGAACCTCACTGAGTCCCTGTGCAGATGTCAAATTAATGGGTCTGGTACATTGAACAGTAGGTGCTTAACAAATCGGGCTTCCTTTCTCTCCCCACATTCGCTGTTTCTCACATGACCACTTTCCTCATGTGCTGACCAAGTGCCTGAACTGTTACTAAATTTAATATTAACAAATGTAATTAATGTCAACTGTTTGCCAAGGTGCTTACCCACTAAATTGTCAGTGTTTAATTTTTTTTAAGATCTTGAACTTTAAAAATGACCCCCCAAAATACCTTTAACATAGGAAAAACACCCTATGAAAACAACCTTTAATTCTAAAACCATTATTGTAAATTGGGAGTGCGTATAGGCTAAGCACAGAAACTAGGTAGGTTTTCTGGTGCCCTTAGCTCATTCTCTCAAGCTACGAAGATTCTCAAATAAGTAGTGCTTCACAACTATTCTCCTACAGAACTGCTTAATTGTTTGAGAATAAAAATAAAAATTAAAACAAAAACTGGACTTCATGTTTCATAGCCAGAAATTTGCCTTCAAGACTTTTGCAAAGTGCTACAACTTTACATATTCCAAGCCCATAACTTTACGGTTCCTTTCAATAATAAAACACTCTAAATAGCTCTATTAGGTTGCTGATCAATACCTAGAATAAAATAGTGGACTATGGCTCCCAGGCTGTTCATTGGGACCCAGGAATTAGTGGAGGCTAACCTAAACTGACTTCTCCGTTGTCATCTGAGGAGTCCCCTCCCTGCTCAAGCCACACAAAGGCTATCTACATTACACCTATGACTCTTATCTTAATTTTTAATTTCTGTGGCAGAACGTTTGCCACGAGAAGCTGCCAAATGGTGTCTATGATTCTTGGCTATTTTCAGATAGTGGCAAGGCATAACGTGTGAGAACAAATATGCTTCTTTGCACTAAAACTGTTTGCTTCACTGTCAGTTTAGACAGGCTACGAAGGCAGATCTTTTAGTTGGGTAAGCTCTATGTTAAAAAATCGAAGTTTCTAATCACTGGACACACATTTTAATATAAATGGGGAAAAATTTTAGGTACAAAAACACTGTATAAATCCTTACTAAACAACTTTTACTATATTTAATTTGGTCTGTGCATCTAAATACTGTACTTTGGCCCTATTGTCTCACATGCTCTTAAGTAAACAAAAACCTATTAACCATCTCAGCTGATATAAACCATTTGTTTTTCACAGTCATATAACAAGAAGCAAAATACTGTATAAGCTATGGAGGACTTAGTAAGGCTGAATGTAGACATACACACAAAAACACAAGCAACTAAGAAATTGTTCAATACATAAAACCTCCAATTTCGTATCTTCATTCTAATCAACAAACAACACACCAGAGCACTTCTATTTTCCAGCCACCAAACACTAAAATCATAAGTATATATTTGCAAGTGTCAATGACTCTCATGCACCAACAGACTGAATCAAAGAGGAAACCAACTTGTCTTTAAGACTTGCTGCCAACCCTCTTGACTCCAAGGCTTGGACATTCTCTTTCTAAATAACTCACTCTAGGTCTCTACTTTCATTACTTGTTTTTTATTAGAGTCACTTTTTTAAAGCTTAGAAATAATTACTACACAACCAGGATGTACAATATTGCTCAATTTTATGGTACACCAACAGGATCCATGAGTCTGAACTGAACCTTATTAGCATGATCGGAAACGTATGCTATAACTACACAGTAAAAGGGGTTTCTACACCAACTAGCCTGCACACCCAATTCTCTGAAAGCAAAGTTCTAAATGTGTTTAACTTGCAGAACGGCCTGGGAGTATGAATTTATAGCTTTTTAAGTTTCTTCTGTGAAAACACAGTATAAACGTGTATTTGAATACCTGCCTTCCTACTATAAAAAGAGAAACCAGACTAGACTGACATGCCTGCTGAGTATATGAGCTCCACCCCCAAAACTCTGGGCGAATACCTTGCTAGTCTTTCTTAACATCTGCATTCTGGTCTATCCTCATCCTACATACATTGTTAATCTTGGAAAGCATCTCCATACAAAAACTGGTTAAAAAAAAGTCTGAGATGTTGCTTATATGCCCAGACTTCAGACTAGAGGGTTGGGTCTTGGAACTACGTGTAGTAAAACGTGGCCTTACGGGGAGTAGTAGTGGGAAACTGGAGATCGGTGGCAAAAAGAGTAAAGAAATGGAAACTGAATTACAAGGCCTAGAACCTGAGGTCCCTCCCTTAGAAATCTCCTCTGCCCCCACCCATCTCAGGAATGAGACAGCTCGGGGAAGCTGGAGGGGCCAGACAGGACTGGCGACAACCAAAAGGATTTTGAAAAATTCCTTTTGCGAGAAATGGGATGGAATTAAGATGAAAGCTGAGAGCTATTTCCTGGGGCAACACTGGGCTCGGCCCCCGAATTTAGGGGGTAAATAGGAGGTGCCCGAGGCTGGGGGTGTGTGCGGGGCGGACGGTCCCAGGTGCCGCAGCCAAGGCACGGAGGTCCACACTTCCATAAGGCTGGGCCAACCAGCCCGGGGCCCAGGAGCCTCTTCATCAAAAAGGGGTAGCACTTGAGCTGCAGGGGGGTGCCCTTCCCCTCCCCTTCCAGCTCCTCCTTACCAGGGCCGTAGAACTTGCTGCCTTTGGTCACATCGAAGACTTTCCCATTGACCGCGAGCAGAATGCGCGGGGTGCGGGACCCGTCGTATTGGCGCAGCTGCTCCAAACTGAAGTCGCGCTTCTTCATCCGCGGCAGAGTGGCAGCGGGGCTCTCCTCGCCAGACCCTGCCCCAGCGCCCAGACCCCGTCGCCCCCAGCGCACCCACAACCGGTAGGCCCCCAGCAGCACCAGCGCCACCAGCGCCACGTTCAGCAACATCTCCCCGCCTCCCGTCAGAAGGGCCAACGCTGCTGCCACCCAGCCTCCCCCTTCTGCTGTAGCTCCCGCGACGCCCGGACTCCCGCTGCTGCCGTCCCTGCTGCTCTCACTGCCACTCCCCAGGGTGCCTAGATTCACGTCCCCATCACCCGCCGCCATCACTGCCCGCCAGCACCTTCCTCCTCGTCCCCGCCCCCTGCCCTCCCCAACCCCACGACCAGCCCCGCCCATTTTGGGGCTCCCCAGCCAATAACGTGAGGGAAGGGGGCGGGGTCATGCCGGCTCCGGATTGGGTGTTGACGGGGTAACGTTGTCTGGGATCTCCCTCCCCTCCCCTTTTTTGCTGGCCGCGCTCTGGAGCGACGCCCCGCCCACCTCGCCCCACACATCCCTGCTCTCATTTCTGGCCTACACTCGCTTAAGTAGAAGCGCTGGGCGGGTCTGAAGAAAAATAAGCTGCGCCGGCCCCGCTCGCGCACGTAGGCGGGGCAAGGCTAAGGCGCGTGCGCGGGTTCCGGAGCGCCACGCGCTCTGCTCTTCCCAGTATCCCCTTTTGGAGGCACGCTCGCCCAGTCCCCTCTGTGCGCGTGCGCGTGCGCGCCGGATTCGCTACCCTTCCCAGGCTTTAGGTACGCGTCCTCAAACTCCCGCCTATTTGCCGTCGCTCCGCCCAGGAGCTTCACGTGCTCTGAAGCTGCGGGCGGAGGTGGGGCGTGGCTGGGGCACCTTTCTGAGGGCTCGGGCTGGTGGCTTGTGGGCCGCCGCGACAGTTTATCTGCTGGCACAAACTGGTGAGGGGCGTCTCTTTCCCCTGGGCCTGTCTGGAAGCCAGGAACGTGGGCGTGCAGACACAGCTGCTGCCCAGAACTGTTGGCGACGAGACGGTCTCCGTGGCGCGGTTAGAGTGCACGGAGTCGGCGCCGGGCTGGTTGGGCGCCCGAAACTCTACGGGTTGTTAGCGCTGGCACTGCGCAGTCACTCCCTGGTAGCTTTGGCCTAGGCTGCTGTTGTAGAATTTTCTCGCAGGTGTTGGGGAAGTGCGTAGGATGAAGTGGTGCTGCTAGAGTTTTGTCCTGTTAAGTCCTTAAATTTCCGGCCTGAAGGTCATCTCTGAAGCCTCATTAAGGGCCCCTCAGGTCAGGCGCTCGTTTGCCGAGCTGGCTCCCGCCCAGGTGTGTTTTTTTTTGTGTGTGTGTCGCTGAGTCACCCACCCCGCACACAAACCCTGGCCCCCCACAACTCCTGCACTTCCGTCGTGATGGGCGAATGAAGGTTTATCAAGGCAGTAACAGTTTTTCTTTAACATGAAGCACCGACGCAGTGGAGGGGAGACCTGGGCAAGCCGTGGGGGCGCTCGGAGGGCGCTAAAGACGGCTTGTTAGAGGAAGGAAGAAGGCACGTGGGGGGGGGGGTGCGTAGTAAGGAGGAGCGCAGTCTGGAGAACTAGTTGTAGCCTGTAGTAGTAGCGATGGGTGTGGACCATATGTTGGCGGTTTTGCAGGAGCCACTTATTATAATGAAGGCGCAAATGACCAGATCAAAACTGAGTGGAGTGGGGGAAAGAATAGAGAACCAGTATATTTGCGCAACAGGTGAGGAAAATCAGAACTCAATGATGGCATTGAAGCAGGGGTACACGAGCTTTTTATAAAGGGCCAAATATGAGTAGTGAAGTATTGACAAGTCAGTTCTGCCTTGTAGTGAGAAAGAGGCTCTAGAGGTATCAGCATGACTGGGTCCCAGTGAAACCTTGTTTATGGACACTGAAATTTTAAGTTAATATAATTTTGGGTGTCACGCAGTATCGTTCTACTGATATTTTTAAATCATTTAAATATGTAAAAAACATTTTTTCCCCTCTCTGAAGATACAAAAAACAGCCCACAGGCCATAGTTTGCTGATCCTTGTTTTAGAGGTATTTTCTTGGGGCAGAGTGAACTGGTTTTAATTGGGAATAAGTAAGTAAGTGACCATGTAATCTAACCCCCTCCAATCAGTAATACTTTCGAAAGTGAAAGGGGACACTATTAATTACAGTGGGAGAACAGGAGTAAGAGCACATTGCTATCCCAGGCAAATCTGAATGAGTGGCCATCCTAAGGGAACGGGTGAGAAGTCAAAACTGCCTTAGGACTTGGTAACAAGAAATGGTGGTGCCAGTGATAGAAACAGGGAGGTTGGGCGGAAACTGGTTTTGGGGAGGAGATGGCTGTAGCACTTCCAAGTGTCGTACAGTTGGGACGACATTGAGCAGCAGAAACCACTCCGGAGGCTTTATGTGAGGGGGGACCCCTAAAAAACTTTATTAAAAACTGTGTTCTTACATATTTAAACCTCTTGATGCAACAAACCTATTGAGACTGTCCACTGCTCAAAACAGTTTTGAATTGACAATTTTGTGCCTTTTAGTGCTTTTTGCCTTTTGTTTTTTTGTTTGCTTCACGTCTTCCACATGGGCAAAACATTTCCCTTTGAGGACTTTTTTCATTGGGGAAACTAAAAAAAAAAAACCAGGGTGAGATGGGGTGCATAGGGAGGGTGGGGTACGGTGGTCATGCTGTTGTTTGTCAAAAACTGATGAACACTAAGGGTGGTGTAGGCAGGTGTGCTTGTAACTCACCCATCATGAAATGGGCAAACAGGTTGAAAAGTCCTCAAAAAACATTCACTGAAGCTGAGCACAACCTGTCAGTGACAACAGCTGGTCCACTGATTCAGATGGCTCCTAGAACACGCACCTAGCAGGGGAGTGGTACTAGGGGTTGCCCTCCAGAAGATAAAGAAGATAATTCTGGTTTGTCTTGGTCCTCCCTAGTAGCAGGCCACTCCTTGTATCTTACTGACCAGAACTGGATTACTAGCTATTTCGCAAAGCAGTAACTGACAAAGAGAATGGGACTGCTATGACTGGTTAGTGTTTACCCAGCTTTTAGCAGTTTTCATGGAGGACTGTGGTGTGCATTACCACCCTTTAGCATTGTTGGTTCCTTTCCACTAAATATCAGTGGTGCACAACAGGCACTGTGACACCAAAAACAAACAAATAAAAAACTCTGTTCCTCTCCACCCTACACACACTCCCCACAGAGTTGATACTGGTTGAGAACCACTGGCTGGCTTAAACCAAACAGGATTTACCTTGGAGTTGAATTATGAGTGTGCAGGTTTCTTTTCTTTGATTATTTTGGAGGGAAGGGAGTAATTGAGCAGTACAGAACTTCTGTTGTCAAGGACATAAGTAGGGTGGAGAATGTTGGGTAGGTAACCAATACTGTCTGCCATGGGAATAAAAGATGTTTTCTTTTACACCCTGAGATTAAAGATCTCAGCTTCTCCACACTTAAAGCCCTTCCTTTTTTTTATTTTTTTATTCTTTTTGCCCTCTGAGCAACTTACTCTTCTTCTAGGACCCATGATCCGATCCCTTGCAGTAGGGCATTCCTGTGAATACTGCGGTGACTGGCTGGCTGGTGGTCTGCCCTGTCTTCCCCTCCTTCACTCCCACCTAAAGGAACTAGTCCTATATGCTGATTTCCTTTACTCAGTCAGTCACTTGTCTCCAGTGATGCTCAGTTATCTAAAGGAAAGAACTCAGAAATCTCAGTGGGCACTCAAAGGCTTCTATAAATCCCCAAACGGCTTCCCTGGCCTGTCCTGCAGCAGCAAACCTAACCCACGTTTTCTGTTACTCCTGACACACCCTCTACTGCAGTGATACATTTCCCTTTACAATACCTAGCCCTGTTCCCTTCAACTGCTAAGTTCATTCCCCATTGAAAGAATTTTTTCACGCTGTTTCCTCACTGAGAGCACCTTTCTCTTTCCAACAAGCCAAATTCTGTTACCTTCCAGTTTCTTCTCTAATACTACCTCTGCCCCATGCTTGTGACTACACCAGCCCACACTGATCTCTTTGAATTTCTACGCATTCATTGCCAGTCCCACCAATTACAGCCTTTTATGCTCTTCTTTGGTTCCTCATTGCTCCTTTTGCCTCCGTAGATTTTTTAAAGAAAGTATCTTAATTTTTTAATTATATTTTGATTATACTATTACAGTTGTCTCAATTTTTTTCTCCCCTTTCTCCCCCTCCTCCCTGCACTGCCCCCACCTCCAGTATTCACCCTGTCCCACAGTTCTTGTCCAGGAGTTGTACTTATAAGTTCTTTGGTCTTCTGACTCTTCCACCTTCCTTTTCCTCCTTAGATCCATCCTCCCTTGTCAGGAGGTCATGTACAAGCATCTCTTGTCCTCTACACTCTTTTCTCCTCTTGTTACTCACTTTCCCTTGAGATTTCATGTACTTAGAGATTTACTTATCGTCTTTATGGAAGATATACCTCTCCAGCCATGTCCTCTCTCTGGGAAATATAAATGCTAGTCACCAAATATTTTCATCTGTTTTCCCACACACATGGTAGACTTCCATTTCTCTATTCCTCTGAACTCAGCATGGCCAATGAAAGAGAAGTGATCTGGGTCACTTCCAAGCAAAAGTTTTAAGAACTCATGAGCAATTTCTCAGTCTCTCCTTTTGACACAGTGATGGAATGTTTTAGTTATCTATTGCTGTATAATAAGGTACCCCAAATCTTAGTAACTTAAAACAGTAACCATTTTATTATCTCTGATGGTTTTATAGGTTGACTGAGCTTATGGGCAGTTGCCTAGTTTTGTGTGGGGTCTCTCATGTGGTTCCAGCCAGGTATCATCTGGGGCTGGAGTAATTTGGAGGCTCACCTGGGATGCTAGAATGGCTGAGCCTTTCCCCTTCCAGAGGTGGGGACATAAACTGTACCTCTTGATAAAAACTGGGGAGGAGAGTGACAAAGAATTTTTGTGGCCCTCTTTATCATACCAACCGTATCTGAAATGGTGGCTCCTTCTATCAGCTAGGCCCCTAGAGTCCAGACAAAATGGAAAAGAGCCCTCAGCTAACACACATGGCAGCATGGATGAGAACTATGTCTATGCTGTTCTAAGTCATTGAGATATTTGGGGTCATTTGGTCACAAAGTCTGATCTACAGTGGTGCAAAAATTGGCAGCAGCTATACAGCAAAAAACCCTAAGCACGTCACATTCATATACATGGGTATGTTACAAATGTTAGTGGTTGGTTGGTAGGCAGCATCCAGCTCTGTCTGATTCACTTGCGAATCTTTCAACCAATCTAGCTCCGAAGTTTGAAGTCGATATTTCTCAAACAAGAGAGACTGTTTTTTGTAATCCTGTTCTATTTCCCTGTTTTAGGGGGAAACACTTCTTTCCTACACCAGATGTTTCCTGAAGTATGGAGTAGGCACCACTAACATAACACTTGATACTCTATTCCGGTACTACTAGCAAGTTTCCTGATGTGTAAGTTGGCCACACACAACCCACCTTCTTTCTTCCTATCTATTTTTGCATGGGAGCCAGGCCACCCTCAGAAAGTGTGCTTTCTGCTCTGCTGCTTCATACAGCAAGTTCGCAGGGGCCTGCCTGCCATGCCTAGGGAGGCCTGGGATCAGCCTAAAAGATAGATCTTCTTTTAGAAGGGGAAGGGGAGCGGCCGGTTCAGGAGCTAAGTTCACTGCCAGGCAGTGACAAAACCTCTTACTTGGACTGTAATTCACAAGAACAAGAGAGTTCGATGTTGGACTTTATAACACATGTTGGAACTGATTATGTCAGGCTGTAATTTAGAACAAGATCATTTGATCTCTGAACTTTTCCTTTCTCCCTGAAAAACTCATATTGGGAGGGTTCGTGATCACATGGGGGCCACCTTTTTAGCTCTTAATTTTTATTGTATTTTTATGTTATCATTTGCTCTTCTTCTGGAACTTCTGACTATTTTGAATAAGGTAGTGGGACATCAGTTGAGATAGCAACAGGACAGGTTGTGCTGTATGTAGCCTTGGGTTCCAAATAGCATTAGAGCTGATTTCATTGGTGTATTGTTCTGACTCATTTGGGGCATTCTGCGAACAAAATCTGTTTTTCCAGTGGCCCCAGGAGACCCCACAAAAGAGGTGAAATCAGTATTCGAGAAATGGCCTTATGACAAGGGGAGCAGGACAAACTTGATTGACTCCTGACTGCTTACCCAAGAGGGATACCATATCCCCAGCTGATCCCAGCGACTAAGCTGAAAGAATTTAGGCAATAGTCTTCGTACATCTTTGCCGATATACTTTCCCCAAATAATTTCTAAATTAACGTAAAAATTTTTTGCCATGAATTTAGTTGCAAAAGATTTCTGGTGTAATATAAATTTGAAATTTTTTAAATAAAAAAGGCTATACCACTTAAAAATGAATTTCATGAAATTAAATCCCACAGAAATTGAATACTCACCATCAACTTTTAAAAAAATTTTACCTTATTCTTTTTTCTCTTTGAATTTGTATTTCCATTCTACTTCCCCACATAAATTTTTAAAGTGTATTTTCTATTCCTGACTCCTGCTAACACCCTCACCCACCCCAGTTCCAAAAAATGTTATTGGATTGTTCTTTCAAACTACGAAAGTAGTACATGTTCTTTGCAACAAGTCTAACACAGAGATGTACAAAGAAAAAGTTAAAAATTTCTCCTTTTCTCTAGGCACCCCACACATACATACGCAGTGTGCTTTCAAATATGTATTATTTTAACTAAATTAGATCTATGCTGTACAATGAGTACAGTTCTCCCCTTCCTCCTCCCAAACAATATCATGGATGTCATTCCAGTACCTGCTAGATGCCAGGCACATGCTTTATCTCATTTACGCCACTAGTACCATATGAGGTAGGAACCATTAGCTCCATTGGGTGGACGAGGAACTGAGATGGGATAAATTCGCCAAAGGCCGCCCAGGCAATGACTGCAGAGCAGCAATTTGAATTGGGCAGTGTGGGCCCCCAGTTGATGATGCTAGACACTGCCTCTTACTGTCTCCCAAATAAGGGGATTTTTGGCCTTTTCAATAACTGTATAATGTTCATTTGGATATCCAGAATTTACTCAGTCATTCTCCTATTGATGAATGTAGAAGCTTTTTTATTTTTTGCCACTACTTAAAATGCTTCGTTAATTCTCCAAACTGGGATTTGAGATCAGAGGCCATATTTATTTTATTATACATGGCCGGGCTGCGTTCCAAGGGTTATGTAGCAATCTCACACACCAAGAAATGTGGGACGGTATCTGTTTTTCCTATGCTCTCACTAGTCCTCACAATAACTGATATTTGGGGGGGGAGGGGGGGGCGGGAAGCTTTTGGCACTGTGTTAGTAAAAACAGTGCACCTTTGATTTAATTTGCATGTTTCCTGAGTATGGGTGAGGTTGAGAATTTTTCTGTATGTTTTAGAGATATTTGCATTTCCTTTTCCACGATTTATCTTCATTTCCACTCCTGTTTATTTTTTTCTGTTGGGTTTCGTCTTTGCTCATTTTGGGGAGGAGTGTTTATTGCAATAGTCGTGTTAACCCTTTTTTTTGGATGTGTTCAAATGTTTGTTCACCGTTTGATTTTTGTACAGTATCCTATATAGAAATGCTTAATTTTTAAAAAAGATTTTATTTATTTTTTTTTTTTTCAGAGAGAGGAAAGGGAAGGGGAAAGGGGAGAAGAGAAACATTCAGTTGCCTCTGGTCTGCCACCAACTGGGGGACCTGGCCCACAACCCAGGCATATGTCCTGACCAGAAATTAAACTGGCAGCCTTTTGGTTTGCAAGCCAGCACTCAGTCCACTGAGCTACCCCAACCACAGCCAAATGCTTAATTGTTGGCATATCTGTTGTTTTTTTGCTTCATGCCGTTTGGGTTTCCGGAAATTAATAGGTCTCAGGCAACTCTCTTTATTAAGGGTTGGCCAGGCAGCCACTACTGTCCTTGGAGGGCATCTGCGGGGCGTTGGTAACTTTGTCTAAGGCTGTTTTGCCTTTGCTGCCACTGACAGTCTCCTTCCCAGGAATCTTCTTTCTTGGGACTTGTTACTACGTTCAAGCAAAGCCTTTCTGGCCTGGGTGTCACTTGTCATTTATGAAAGTGTGTTTGCATGTCTTTGCTCTGGTTTTAAGGAGAATCACCATGGCTGCTTCTGTTGTATGTTTTGAGTTTTGGGTCATCATCAGCCTCTGAGTTTTTAAGCTTTTTTGAGGCAGTTTAGAGGGGAGATTTGCTCTTGGTACAAGAACTGTGGATGGTGAAGATAAATTAGTAATGGGGAGGTTGTGGGCTTGAGAGTGAGTTTGACTCTGTCTTTGATGGTGTCTAATCCTGAGGAGGTTGTTCTAAGCCTCAGGGCCCTTTTCCATTAAGTGGAAGTGAGAGCAATACTGCTCTGAGGCCACTTTTTGACAGTGCAGGTCGGCTTCTAACAGTTAATTTAGAAGTTTCTTCCTTTTTGGTCACCTTTCAAGAATATTTTAATGATATCAGCCCTTCACAAATTATCTTGGTACTCGTCTTGACAAAACAACCTTTTTTCATTTGCTGTCAGCCCATAAAAGAAGGATGAACTTTTTTGAACTTTAAAGACTAGAATCCTTTACAGAATCTCTGGAATAAACTGCCCATGTTTCATTGTTGAAAAGAGAAACACTTAAACTCTCGGTGGAAATTAAATTTTAGTTCGTTTTACACAAACGGTGGCCTAGGACCAAGGATCCAACACAGAGCCGGCGTGGGTGGGGATGGACACCAGGGAGAGGAGTCTGGCCTGCATCTGGGTGATTGCAAAATATGTACGGAATTTGTTCCATGTCTTCGCTAACGGGCTCACTGAAAAGAAAGTTAGAAGGGACCTAGAGTTACCAACCAGGCCTGTGTCCTGCCCTCAGACTGGTAGTCATAAAACCAATCAGTAAAGGCAGTTTGTTCATTGTCCATTTGTTAGTATTCCTCAGTGGTAACTAATTTTAGGGGACTTGGCTGCTCAGAAGCTAGGTAGAAGTAGTGAGTTTCAAAAGAAATACCTGACCCTGTGCAATGATCAGCCTCTTACTTCCTTATTTCTTTGTTTCCCAGTGTACCTTTAAGGCGGCAGGGACCTGATCTTAATCTGGATTCATAGATAAGGGGAAGGAGGATTAAACCAGCTCCTAGCATGAAAGCAGTGGCTATCCTTCAAGCTCAGGCCCTGAAGGGATTAGATTCTATGCAGGAATTCAAACCAGCTAACAAATTTGGATGCTACGTGTGAGATACTCTGTGGGGTGTGAGATACTCTGTGGGATGGTGTTGTGTATTCACTGGGAGATGGAGGGGGGGGGGGTTGTGAAAAAGGAAGGCAGAGTTCTTGCCCTCAAGTAGCAGAGGTTGCTAATAACTCAAATGTCCAGGAGACCAGGCACATTTAGTGTCTTTGTGCTTGTAAGAAAATAATAAAGTAAGCATGATAAATGACAACAGATACTGTGTCACTGACAGTAGGAGGCGGAGGTGGGGGAGGTTGCAGCGAGTGGAGTGTCCACTCCTATTTGACAGGAGCAGCCGTGCAGTGATCTAGCAAAGTATGGTCCCTGGACCAGCAGCATCAGAATCACCTAAGCACTCTAGTTAGAGATGAAGGTTTTCAGCCCATCCCAGACCCACTGAATCAGGAACCCTGGGTCTGGGGTTCTGCAGCCTTTGTTTTAACAATCTCTCCCTGTGATTCTGATGCTCCCTAAAGTGAGTATTGCCTCATGAGAATTTGGATCTCGTGTTGCTAGATCTTTTGACTTTTCAAGAGAAGCTAGAAAACTAAATTTTTATGTAAATTTACAGATTTTTTAAAAATTTAAAATGGAGAGGATATATATATAATTTTTTGGTGGAGGAATACCCTGCATAGGCCACACTGTAGGCCAAAGAGAGCACATCCAAGACCGTGTGGTCTCCAGGCTTTCGGTTTCAACTTAAAATAATCAAATATCTTATTGACGATGGAATAATTGAAAATACTGTTGGACTAGAAGTATGACTCTCAGTCTGTGTTTGTGGGTGTGGGAAAGACAGCGGGACATTAGACTATGGCAGGAAGGGGCTTTTATTGTAAAAGCTGCACAGATTCTGATACTTCCCCACCCAGGTGCTTGCCTCCCTCTCTCCAGGGTGGAAGGGCTTCCCCCAGGAGGGCAACAAAGGAGAAAAGGAGCCTGTGTCACAGTTCTAGAGTTCGAGTCAAGTCTTCATCAACTGCTCTCACACTTATCCTTAAATCAAGTCTCGCTCGACAGGCGTGACAGGTATTGTCTCTGTTTGGAGCTGCCTGTCAGCTGCGTGAGGCTGAAGTGATTTGCCTAAGGCCACACCATTTGTCAGGGTGAATGTGGGACTAGATATCCAATGTTACAATTTCTAAACTCCCACATATAATTTTAATTTTTAGTGTGCACGTGCA